TGTATACACACATATATACACATATGTATACACACATGTATACACATGTATACACACATGTCTACACATTTATACACACATGTATACACACGTGTATCATGTATACAAATGTATACATACATGTATACACACATGTATACACACATGTATACACATATGTATACACACATGTATACACATGTATACACACATGTATACACACATGTATACACACATGTGTACATACATGTATACACACATGTGTACACACATGTATACACACATGTATACACATGTATACACACATGTATACACATGTATACACACATGTATACACATGTATACACACATGTATACACACATGTATACACACATGTATACACACATGTATACACACATGTATACACACATGTGTACATACATGTATACACACATGTGTACACACATGTATACACACATGTATACACATGTATACACACATGTAAACACACATGTATACACACATGTATACACACATGTATACACACATGTAAACACACATGTATACACATGTATACACACATGTATACACACATGTATACACACATGTATACACACATGTGTATACACATGTATACACACATGTAAACACACATGTATACACACATGTATACACATGTATACACACATGTATACACACATGTATACACACATGTATGCAAACATGTATACACACATGTATACACATGTAAACACACATGTATACACACATGTATACACACATGTATACACATATGTATACACACATGTATACACATGTATACACACATGTATACACATGTATACACACATGTAAACACACATGTATACACACATGTATACACATGTATACACACATGTATACACACATGTATACAAACATGTATACACTGTAAACATGATGAAACATGAGGTCATAATGAATCAGTGTTTTTATCTTAATCTGACACATTTTGACTTAAACCAGATTCTCCAACGGGACAAATACATTTAGTCTGATTAAAGAACATTTGCTTTATTTCCTCATTCCAAAGGAAACATTTCTGTATCTTTTAAAAACTATATTATTTTTGGAGACGGCCTCAATCTCCTGTCATAGTTTTACTTGATGTGTGTCGTCTGCACCTGCCATTTTTATATAATTATTATATAAAAGAACGGGGGAGCCCTGTAATTTCCATCATAGTTAAAATGTTGATGGTATTTTGGCCCATTCTTCCTGGAGATCTGCTCTAGAGCAGTGATGTTTTGGGGCTGTCGCTGGCCCACAGCTGATGTCTTCACACCAAGCTGCTTAGCTGTTGCAGAGTCAGTCTTCCCAGCCTGGTGCAGGTCTACACTGTTGTTTTTGATGTCTTTTAACAGTCTTAGTGTTGCTTGGAGTGTGAGTGTTGGAGGCTGTGGACAGCTGTCTTTCAGACTGAGTTCAGACAATTTTAAGGTTTTTGTTTTGTTATGATTGAACCTCATTCTTCGGGTTTAAAGCCGTGGCTTTAAATTCTTGAGTAACTTTATGGACAAATGGAGGCAGCTTCTCTCACGCAACTATCAACAATGTGTCATGTGTCACTTATAATATTAGACTTTTAACACACATGTATACACACAAGTATACGCACATGTATACACACATGTATACACATGTATACACACATTTATACACACATGTATACACACGTGTATCATGTATACAAATGTATACATACATGTATACACACATGTATACACACATGTATACACATGTATACACACATATATACACATATGTATACACACATGTATACACATGTATACACACATGTCTACACATTTATACACACATGTATACACACGTGTATCATGTATACAAATGTATACATACATGTATACACACATGTATACACACATGTATACACATATGTATACACACATGTATACACATGTATACACACATGTATACACACATGTATACACATGTATACACACATGTATACACACATGTATACACACATGTATACACACATGTATACACACATGTGTACATACATGTATACACACATGTGTACACACATGTATACACACATGTATACACATGTATACACACATGTAAACACACATGTAACACACATGTATACACACATGTATACACACATGTAAACACACATGTAAAACACATGTATACACATGTATACACACATGTATACACACATGTATACACACATGTATACACACATGTGTATACACATGTATACACACATGTAAACACACATGTATACACACATGTATACACATGTATACACACATGTATACACACATGTATACACACATGTATGCAAACATGTATACACACATGTATACACATGTAAACACACATGTATACACACATGTATACACACATGTATACACACATGTATACACACATGTATACACATGTATACACACATGTATACACATGTATACACACATGTATACACACATGTATACACACATGTATACACACATGTATACACATGTATACACACATGTAAACACACATGTATACACACATGTATACACACATGTATACAAACATGTATACACTGTAAACATGATGAAACATGAGGTCATAATGAATCAGTGTTTTTATCTTAATCTGACACATTTTGACTTAAACCAGATTCTCCAACGGGACAAATACATTTAGTCTGATTAAAGAACATTTGCTTTATTTCCTCATTCCAAAGGAAACATTTCTGTATCTTTTAAAAACTATATTATTTTTGGAGACGGCCTCAATCTCCTGTCATAGTTTTACTTGATGTGTGTCGTCTGCACCTGCCATTTTTATATAATTGTGTGACTTATTTTTCATCTCTTTCTGTGGAGTGTGAGATCTAGGAACATGGACTTTATAACAATTTTATAACTACTTTATAACTACTTTTCTAGTTATACTGCTTCTAAAATGAAAGTTAAAATCATTTTGATCCCAGGCCTATTTTAAGTCGGCCGTCTGCCTCCATCTCTGATCCAAGTGTTAATCTTAAGTAAATAAAACGTCAGAGTTTGGAGATTCAAAAGGATCGAGTTGTGGAGTATTTTTAAAAGAGACGCAGCATCAGCGAAAGTCGAACTGCTCTGATTCATCCAGCCTCCCATGGTCCTCTCATGGTTCTCTCCTGGTCCTCTCATGGTCCTCTCATGGTCCTGTCACGGTCCTCTCATGGTCCTCTCATGATCCTCCCATGGTCCTGTCATGGTCCTCTCACGGTCCTCTCATGGTCCTCTCATGGTCCTCTCCTGGTCCTCTCATGGTCCTCTCATGGTCCTCTCATGGTCCTCTCACAGTCCTGTCATGGTCCTCTCACGGTCCTCTCATGGTCCTCTTGTGGTCCTCTCATGGTCCTCTCATGGTCCTCTCATGTTCCTCTCATGGTCCCGTCATGGTCCTCTCATTGTCCTCTCATGGTCCTCTTATGGTCCTCTCACGGTCCTGTCATGGTCCTCTCATGGTCCTCTCATGGTCCTGTCATGGTCCTCCCATGGTCCTGTCATGGTCCTCTCATGGTCCTCTCATGTTCCTCTCATGGTCCCGTCATGGTCCTCTCATTGTCCTCTCATGGTCCTCTTATGGTCCTCTCACGGTCCTGTCATGGTCCTCTCATGGTCCTCTCATGGTCCTGTCATGGTCCTCCCATGGTCCTGTCATGGTCCTCTCATGGTCCTCTCATGTTCCTCTCATGGTCCTGTCATGGTCCTCTCATGGTCCTGTCATGGTCCTCCCATGGTCCTGTCATGGTCCTCTCATGGTCCTCTCATGGTCCTCTCATGGTCCTGTCATGGTCCTCTCACGGTCCTGTCATGGTCACACCTACACACACACACATGTATTTTCTGACTTTAATCTTACTCTAATCTCAGACATATTTCTCTCAGTCTTAGCGTGAGCCGCGACCCCAACACTGAAAACACAAAGGGTTTGAAGCTCAGAGAAAGTGGGAGGAGCCTCTTCAGGACCATGTGGAACCATCTGCTTCACTTTCCTTTCCTCAGATCCTCGGCTCTGAGTGGTTCTGCTCCAGTCCCTTCTCTGTGAGTGAAAGTAGGTCAGTGAGCGCGGCCCAAAGAGCTGAGGCAGCGTTTCAGCGAGTTAAGGAGGATGAGAACATATGAAGGTTCACAGCAGGTCTCTCCCACACCTGAGCTCTGCGGGACTCGACCTCATTCTCTCCCTGAAAACACAATCTGGATCTTTGCTCTCGAGTCGTTCTCTGCGACGCCAGGAAATGGGATTTGATCCTGGTCGTTATGGAAACATGTTAGAGTCTGTAAGTGAGTTCAAGTTCCGACAAGACTTATTTGTAGAGACAGGGTTTCTCACCTCACTGTACAGACAGGGTTTCTCTCCTCACTTCACAGACAGGGTTTCTCTCCTCACTTCACAGACAGGGTTTCTCTCCTCACTTCACAGAGAGGGTCTCTCTCCTCACTTCACAGACAGGGTCTCTCTCCTCACTTCACAGACAGGGTTTCTCTCCTCACTTCACAGACAGGGTTTCTTTCCTCACTTCACAGACAGGGTTTCTCACCTCACTTCACAGACAGGGTTTCTCACCTCACTTCACAGACAGGGTTTCTCTCCTCACTTCACAGACAGGGTTTCTCTCCTCACTTCACAGACAGGGTTTCTCTCCTCACTTCACAGACAGGGTTTCTCTCCTCACTTCACAGACAGGGTTTCTCTCCTCACTGTACAGACAGGGTTTCTCTCCTCACTTCACAGACAGGGTTTCTCTCCTCACTTCACAGACAGGGTTTCTCACCTCACTTCACAGACAGGGTCTCTCTCCTCACTTCACAGACAGGGTTTCTCTCCTCACTTCACAGACAGGGTTTCTCTCCTCACTGTACAGACAGGGTTTCTCACCTCACTTCACAGACAGGGTTTCTCTCCTCACTTCACAGACAGGGTTTCTCTCCTCACTTCACAGACAGGGTTTCTCTCCTCACTGTACAGACAGGGTTTCTCTCCTCACTTCACAGACATGGTTTCTCTCCTCACTTCACAGACAGGGTTTCTCTCCTCACTTCACAGACAGGGTTTCTCTCCTCACTTCACAGACAGGGTTTCTCTCCTCACTTCACAGACAGGGTTTCTCTCCTCACTTCACAGACAGGGTTTCTCTCCTCACTTCACAGACAGGGTTGCTCTCCTCACTTCACAGACAGGGTTTCTCTCCTCACTGTACAGACAGGGTTTCTCTCCTCACTTCACAGACAGGGTTTCTCTCCTCACTGTACAGACAGGGTTTCTCTCCTCACTTCACAGACAGGGTTTCTCTCCTCACTTCACAGAGAGGGTTTCGCTCCTCACTTCACAGACAGGGTTTCTCTCCTCACTTCACAGAGAGGGTCTCTCTCCTCACTTCACAGACAGGGTCTCTCTCCTCACTTCACAGACAGGGTTTCTCTCCTCACTTCACAGACAGGGTTTCTTTCCTCACTTCACAGACAGGGTTTCTCACCTCACTTCACAGACAGGGTTTCTCTCCTCACTTCACAGACAGGGTTTCTCTCCTCACTTCACAGACAGGGTTTCTCTCCTCACTTCACAGACAGGGTTTCTCTCCTCACTTCACAGACAGGGTTTCTCTCCTCACTTCACAGACAGGGTTTCTCACCTCACTTCACAGACAGGGTCTCTCTCCTCACTTCACAGACAGGGTTTCTCTCCTCACTTCACAGACAGGGTTTCTCTCCTCACTTCACAGACAGGGTTTCTCTCCTCACTGTACAGACAGGGTTTCTCACCTCACTTCACAGACAGGGTTTCTCTCCTCACTTCACAGACAGGGTTTCTCTCCTCACTGTACAGACAAGGTTTCTCTCCTCACTTCACAGACATGGTTTCTCTCCTCACTTCACAGACAGGGTTTCTCTCCTCACTTCACAGACAGGGTTTCTCTCCTCACTTCACAGACAGGGTTTCTATCCTCACTTCACAGACATGGTTTCTCTCCTCACTTCACAGACAGGGTTTCTCTCCTCACTTCACAGACAGGGTTTCTCTCCTCACTTCACAGACAGGGTTTCTCTCCTCACTTCACAGACAGGGTTTCTCTCCTCACTTCACAGACAGGGTTTCTCTCCTCACTGTACAGACAGGGTTGCTCTCCTCACTTCACAGACAGGGTTTCTCTCCTCACTGTACAGACAGGGTTTCTCTCCTCACTTCACAGACAGGGTTTCTCTCCTCACTGTACAGACAGGGTTTCTCACCTCACTTTACAGACAGGGTTTCTCTCCTCACTTCACAGACAGGGTTTCTCTCCTCACTTCACAGACAGGGTTTCTCACCTCACTTTACAGACAGGGTTTCTCTCCTCACTTCACAGACAGGGTTTCTCTCCTCACTTCACAGACAGGGTTTCTCACCTCACTTCACAGACAGGGTCTCTCTCCTCACTTCACAGACAGGGTTTCTCTCCTCACTTCACAGACAGGGTTTCTCTCCTCACTTCACAGACAGGGTTTCTCACCTCACTTCACAGACAGGGTTTCTCACCTCACTTCACAGACAGGGTTTCTCACCTCACTTCACAGACAGGGTTTCTCACCTCACTTCACAGACAGGGTTTCTCACCTCACTTCACAGACAGGGTTTCTCACCTCACTGTACAGACAGGGTTTCTCACCTCACTTTACAGACAGGGTTTCTCTCCTCACTTCACAGACAGGGTTTCTCTCCTCACTTCAAACATACAGTCTGCTGTAAGCTTTAAATAAAATCAATGAAATAATGTTAAAAAAAACAATAAAAATAAAGCAATTATGTTTTGCATAAACATAAATAAACATGACACAATAAAAATCTGTACGTTTGAAGTTCTTTGTGATCCTGGTCTGTAAAAGGTGGACCACAGGGACTGGCCTCCTGCTGGGACTCTGAGGAGCACAGGGACTGGCCTCCTGCTGGGACTCTGAGGAGCACAGGGACTGGCCTCCTGCTGGGACTCTGAGGAGCACAGGGACTGGCCTCCTGCTGGGACTCTGAGGAGCACAGGGACTGGCCTCCTGCTGGGACTCTGAGGAGCACAGGGACTGGCCTCCTGCTGGGACTCTGAGGAGCACAGGGACTGGCCTCCTGCTGGGACTCTGAGGAGCACAGGGACTGGCCTCCTGCTGGGACTCTGAGGAGCACAGGGACTGGCCTCCTGGTGGGACTCTGAGGAGCACAGGGACTGGCCTCCTGCTGTGACTCTGAGGAGCACAGGGACTGGCCTCCTGCTGGGACTCTGAGGAGCACAGGGACTGGCCTCCTGCTGGGACTCTGAGGAGCACAGGGACTGGCCTCCTGCTGGGACTCTGAGGAGCACAGGGACTGGCCTCCTGCTGGGACTCTGAGGAGCACAGGGACTGGACTCCTGCTGGGACTCTGAGGAGCACAGGGACTGGCCTCCTGCTGGGACTCTGAGGAGCACAGGGACTGGCCTCCTGCTGGGACTCTGAGGAGCACAGGGACTGGCCTCCTGCTGGGACTCTGAGGAGCACAGGGACTGGACTCCTGCTGGGACTCTGAGGAGCACAGGGACTGGCCTCCTGCTGGGACTCTGAGGAGCACAGGGACTGGCCTCCTGCTGGGACTCTGAGGAGCACAGGGACATGCTGTACCTTTATCCATGAGTTTTCACATTATATTTCCAAAGTAAATAATCTCGTTTTCATAATAATGGTTTTTGAAGAAACTGACAAATCCCGTCGTTGGCTCCGCTCTCCCTGAAGCTAATTATGAGTTTAACAGAATACAGGACGTCACCTTTAATTAATTAGCTCCGACAGTGAATCTGTTGGATCTAAACGAGCCCGAGTCGTTCAGAGCTGATGTGAGATTACAGGCACTTACACACACTTTGGTCTGAGTACTGCTGATCTACACAGACACAGATACACAATCTACACAACCATCTACACAACCATCTACACAACCATCTACACAGTCACACTGTTTTAATGACACTAAATCAGAATGCTTATAATAATAATAATACATCAGTTATTTACACAGCTGCCCTGGGGCACACTGACAGAAGCGAGGCAACCAGTCTGTGCCATCGGCCCCTCCCACCACCACCAACCACTCACACACACACCAGACTCATTCTAATGTGGGGGAAGTGTCTTGCCTAAGGACACAACCACAGTTTGACACTTATTCCAGAGTATTCCCGAGTATTCATGAGTATTCCAGTATTCCAAAGTATTCCAAAGTATTCCAGTGTTCCAGAGTATTGCAAAGTATTCCAGAGTATTCCAAAGTATTCCAGTGTTCCAGAGTATTCCAAAGTATTCCAGAGTATTTCAGAGTATTCCAAAGTATTCCTGAGTATTCCCGAGTATTCCCGAGTATTCCAGAGTATTCCAGAGTATTCCAAAGTATTCCAGAGTATTCCAAAGTATTCCAAAGTATTCCAAAGTATTCTAGAGTATTCCAGAGTATTTCCGAGTATTCCAGAGTATTCCAGAGTATTCCAGAGTATTCCAGAGTATTTCCGAGTAGATAGATAGAAAGATACTTTCTTGATCCCTGTAGGAGAAATGCAGGTGTCCAGCAGCAGAAGACTAATCCATGTTTGTTGTACAGTCTGACAGCTGAAGGAACAAAGGATCTTTTGAAACGTTCCGTTCGGCAGCGTAGTGGGAGGAGCCGGTTGCTACGGTTACTCCTCTGAGCAGCCACAGTGTAATGCAGATGGTCTCTGGAGTTACCCAGGATGCCTGCATTAGAGTATTCCAGAGTAATCCAGAGTATTCCAGAGTCAGACTGGGTCAGACTCAAACCGGGTCAGACCGGGTCAGAGTCAGACCGAGTCAGAGTGGGTCAGAGTCAGACCGAGTCAGACTGGGTCAGAGTCAGACCGGGTCAGACCGGGTCAGAGTCAGACTGGGTCAGAGTCAGACCGGGTCAAACCGGGTCAGATGTCATTCTAATGAAGTTATGTGAAAACTGCTGATGGGAATGTCGAGGGGAAGAGAGACATTACTGCACGAACTTTGAGATCAAAGGAGATTTGGTGACTTTAGATGAAAGGAGGGTTTGGATTCATGGGCAGAAGATGAGACTGATTATAGTGATTATAGTAAACAAACATGTTTATGGCTCTGTCACTCTCTGTTTGATTCTCTGATCTGTGTTGGACCCACAGGACACTACGATCAAAGCGTTAAAGTTAGGTGCCCCAGCTTTAAGCACAGATCCTGCCAGACCTCTGAAGCTAAGCAGGGCAGGGCTTGGGTAGTGCTGTGATGGGAGACCTGTGGGAACAACAGGTGCCACAGTGGGGCGGCTGTGGCTGTAAAGTGCCAAACTGTGGTTGTGTCCTTAGGCAAGACACTTCCCCCACATTAGAATGAGTCAGGTGTGTGTGTGAGTGGTTGGTGGTGGTGGGAGGGGCTTCTGTCAGTGTGCCCCAGGGCAGCTGTGGCTACAGTAGTTTATCACCTTACATAGAACTACAGCACATGTATTTGAACTAAGCTTTACATATGAATTTACTTCTATACACCCTTTATATTTATATAAAGAGAATATTGTTTCAGTTCAAACATCTTTTTCCTCTGGTCCGTATCTGGGCCTGTGTGTTTTCTGTAATGTTTTTGAAAAATCTAAAAAGAGAAATCCAAGAGAAATCACTATTATCATCTCAAATGTATGAACAGAACGGTGCAGATTCTTCCCAAAGTCGTCGCTATCAGCCTCAGCAGTTGTTCCCAGACCTTGAGACGAGGACAGAAATAGCTGTAATAATATTCAATAAGTCATGTGCCGAAGCTGTGAGCAGAATTATTTAACGTTATCTGTTCAGGGAAGTGTCTTAACATGGCGGCGTCTGCTCCGTGCTGTTTGTCCTCTCGCCGCTGTGTCTCGGCCGTCTGTGGAGACAAGTGCTTCCTCAGTGCATTCTACATCACAATACGCCTTTGCTCTTCCTATTTCGGGAAATTCAAATGAGATTATCGTACCTCGTGTTGGCTTCGCTCAGAGCCGGCGACATGTAAAATGCTCCTTGAACTGCCTTAAATATTCTCCCTGTGTGGGATTTTTGATGTTGGATTTGCATTTTCCCTGTTCCCTGTTCCCCATCCACGCTCGGTTTGCATAAAGTCTTCCACCTGAGAATGAGCAGACACGGGATTTGGAAAGACACAATATTAGCAATAGCAACGCTTTGGCATCAATATGGGTCTACTACAGCCTCAGTCCTGGGTCTACAGCCTCAGTCCTGGGTCTACAGCCTCAGTCCGGGGTCTACAGCCTCAGTCCTGGGTCTACAGCCTCAGTCCTGGGTCTACAGCCTCAGTCCTGGTCTACAGCCTCAGTCCTGGGTCTACAGCCTCAGTCCTGGATCTACAGCCTCAGTCCTGGGTCTACAGCCTCAGTCCTGGGTCTAGAGCCTCAGTCCTGGGTCTACAGCCTCAGTCCTGGGTCTACAGCCTCAGTCCTGGTCTACAGCCTCAGTCCTGGGTCTACAGCCTCAGTCCTGGGTCTACAGCCTCAGTCCTGGGTCTACAGCCTCAGTCCTGGTCTACAGCCTCAGTCCTGGGTCTACAGCCTCAGTCCTGGGTCTACAGCCTCAGTCCTGGGTCTACAGCCTCAGTCCTGGGTCTACAGCCTCAGTCCTGGGTCTACAGCCTCAGTCCTGGGTCTACAGCCTCAGTCCTGGGTCTACAGCAGTTCCTCTGATGCAGGAGTCTGTTACAGTTAGAGTCTAACAAGACTGTGAGGATCCACATGTACGGACATGGTCTGTATATATATATATATAAAATAAAAAATAAATCTTACCTTTGGCCCTCCGCGGGCGGTTATCCCTCTCTAAGCTCGGGTCCTCTACCAGAGGCCTGGGCCATTATATATATATGTAAATATGTATATATATATATATATATATACAGTGTATACATATAAATACTTATATCATCCAGTGTTTGTGTATTTGCTGTTTCCTTTAAGTGAAAGAAGCAGAGCTGCAGCAGAACATTTGATCGCGGCTCATTTGAATAATGTTTATAATTAGCCTGATTAAAGCAGTGACTACAGCTGCAGAGGGTCTGAGGAAACCCTGATGAAACCTGCTCCAGACCTGCTCCAGACCCACACCAGACCCACACCAGACCCACACCAGACCCACACCAGACCCACACCAGACCTGGTCCAGACCCACACCAGACCTGGTCCAGACCCACACCAGACCCACACCAGACCTGCTCCAGACCCACACCAGACCTGGTCCAGACCCACACCAGACCTGGTCCAGACCCACACCAGACCTGGTCCAGACCCACACCAGACCTGCTCCAGACCCACACCAGACCCACACCAGACCCACACCAGACCCACACCAGACCCACACCAGACCTGGTCCAGACCCACACCAGACCTGGTCCAGACCCACACCAGACCTGCTCCAGACCCACACCAGACCCACACCAGACCCACACCAGACCCACACCAGACCCACACCAGACCTGCTCCAGACCCACACCAGACCCACACCAGACCCACACCAGACCCACACCAGACCTGGTCCAGACCCACACAGACCCACACCAGACCCACACCAGACCCACTCCAGACCCACACCAGACCCACACCAGACCCACACCAGACCTGCTCCAGACCCACACCAGACCCACACCAGACCTGCTCCAGACCCACACCAGACCCACACCAGACCCACACCAGACCTGGTCCAGACCCACACCAGACCCACACCAGACCCAC